TATTATTTTTAAATTTAATATAAAGAGGAGCTCTAATAATATTTATTTATTTAACTACAGGATAATATAATCTCAATTCCTATTTTTTCTTAAGATTTATTTCATAGTTAAGCGTACCTAATTAGTAACTATAATAATAATTATTCATGCTTAAATTATGATAATTGTAGTTGATCACTCACTATGGAATTTTTATGAAAATATATACCTTACTCTCTATAGCTATCTACACTGCCCATGTATATTTTATAAATTACTTGTTAATTTAACATATTAAATTATTATTTTTTCTTTGTAGAAATTTCTTCTTTAACTTTTGCTTTGTGTAATCACTATATCATATTCTAGTGTAGAAAGGATCTCACTCTAAATGGCTTCAAGCCAATATTTGAGTTGAGCTGAAATATATACTGTTGCTACTATATGAATATATTTTTTAAGAAAACTATGTCAATACTTTTAAATAGAAGAGAATATCCTAACCTCTGATATTATAAAAACTAAATATAGCCAATTGAGTGATTGGCAAAAGAGGACTTATATTAGAAAAGCGTGAATAATAAGATAAAGATAAAAGATAATGACATTGTTAATAGTACTACCAATAGCAAACTACAATATAAAGTTAACCTATTTTGAGGAGCCCAACTACTGGCCATAAGCATCGAGATTTCCATATATATACTTTATAATTTATTAAAAATGGTCATATAATCTTATATAATAAAATTGATTAAATACTAAATAGTACTATCGTTGTAATAATATCGTTATTAGGTAAAATTCTTCATGAACCAGTATGTTGTTTACGATATATAAGCTATGCACTCTAAATTATTATGTTTTTTATAGAACTAAAAAGTTTGAATACGAGCCCCTACGTTTTGCTCTCACAACAGCAAAATCCACTTAGCAGATGTGGATATTCCAGATGAGTTATATATTATATATATAATACAATTACCCTAAACAAGTGAGTTATAATAGCATTTTTCATTCACATCGTTTGGGGCAAGATTTGATAAGAACCTTGCATCAAAGAAAAAAAATGTTTAGATTTAGAGCACATGGCGAAATATAACATAATCTCCCTGATCTAATTTTTTAAGGGGGTGTTAGTCAATTAGGATATTTTCATGCAAAATGGAATAATTATTAAAGTGGAATAATTTTTCGCTAGTGGGATATTTTAGTGGGATAAATAGGAACAATTTTGTGAAGCAGAATATTTTGATAAAATAACGTGGGATAAATTTTTATAATCATGAAATATATATTTATGCATTTTGAAGATATAAATACTATTTATGTATTTTAAATTTACTATTATTGATTGATAATTGCTTATAAGAATGTTCTTTACTATTAAATAACTTTTGGTTAGACTATAAGATATTAACAATTATTATTATAATAATGGTCTAATGATGGTGATAACCATAATACGAAAGAAGTAAAGAAAAAATATATAAAAAATAAAAAATAACAAAATAAATATGAGTTCTAGTTTTTTACCACCTAATTCCAAGCTAAAACTTGGAATAATTTGAGAGACTAGAACTCTCATTTTTGTATAGAAAAATAACAAAAGTGAGATAATTTTGTACTATTATCTCAATTCTAGTTTTGTTAGAGTTCTACTTGACTAACACTGTAAAATTTTGTTTTAGTTTTAGTTCTATGTGACTAACACCTTAAAATTTTATCTCACATATTATCATAGTTCCAATTTTAAGTTCTAGGTGACTAACCCCCCTAAGAAAATAATTCTTCATACTTTTAGTTTTGCTTCTATGGTTTTGGAGAATTAGCTGTAAAATTGAATGAGAATATTAGGTAATCTAAATATGAGTGAGACCATAACTAAAAGTTAATGTGAATATGAGTCAAACCATAACTTAAAGTTTAATGGACATATTTCAAGTAAATTCATATGCAATATTTCTTTACGAATTGAATGATCACTCATCTTTTGAAGACTTCAAAACATTAATAAACAGATATGTTGTATTAGATCAACGTGTTTATAACTCACAAATAGTAGATCACGTGGTCACGGTCTGTGATAAATGAAATAATGACAATATTTTATTTAAGAGAGAGATTATTGAGTTGATGATCAATTCTACAAAAACAATTATTTTTTTATTTTTATTATATTTTTATTGATTTATAATCATGATATTTAATCACGTGCATTGCACATGCATCTCAACTAGTTTACTCAAAAGTTAGAGTATCTACCAAAATTCTGATTGGGTTATTCCTCTTTCCTATGTATCTAGGTATCAATTAAATTATTTCCTTTTTTTCTATTAAAATTTTCAATTTCTCTTTTTCTATTATTTCGTACATCCTTCCAATTTTTTCGCCAATGGATAGCAAAGCAAAGAAAATCCGAACCAAACAGCCAAATAAAAAACTCTAAATTTCTTAAAACCTGTTAACTTTGGATGTTAACAGATAACCTGAACAACTTCCAAAATATCGCAAAACACCTCTTACATTTAGGAGTTATTAGAAAAAAACACATTAGCTTTAAGATTTTATCAAAAAAACATTCCGACAGCATTAACCACAATTTTTACCGACAAAAAAACCTCCTTTTCCATAATTTTATGCACAAATGTGAAAATTGTAGTTAAAAACGTTAGGTGGAGTTTTCTGATAAAATCTTTGCTAAATATTTATATATGAGAATAAATGTAGGAATGAAAGAAAAGTGGGAATGTCATTCAAGCTTTTAAAGAGAGGTTGTGTTCGGTATGAAGGAATGAAAAGTGGGAATTGTCATTCCATTCCTACTCCTTTCTGCGTTTTAAACGAATCCCAATGGTAGATATGTTTCAAATACATGACACGTGTATCATATGCCAACTCATGCTAACAATCTATATTACATATAAAAGATGATTGCCTTATCAAAACTTTTGACTTCTAATTTTGCCCTTTTATGTTTGATAATTCTCAAATATATCATTAGTTATAATGATTCATTCACTAATTATATATAACCTTTTACTAATTATACATTTCCTCACTTTTTCAAAATCTTTGGTCACACAATTATTTTATTATTTAATTACGTTATTTATTAGAAAATTTGAAATTTATCCCTAATTTATCTTCACATAATATTAAAAATTCTAGAAAAATTAAAAATAATAAAAATTCTACAAAAATTAAAAATAATAAAAATTCATTATGCCTATGCCTTACATCTTTGGGTTTCACCTCTTATGGAGGACAACATGTTGTCTTACATCTTATTAGTCTTTTAAAATTATGATAATAGTATGAAAACCATTTGTATTTATTATAATTTTAATAGAATTGATATTATAATGATTTTAATAGTTTTTTTAAATTTAATAAATTACATTATAATTTAATAATTATATAATTTAGTTAGTAAATTATTTACTAACAGTGTAATAAACTAACTAGTAAATGCAAATATAGTTACTAGTAGTATTATAAATTTATAATTATGCCAAGTATAATATTATAATATTTAAAAGAAAAGAAACTATTTAATATATTATAAATTATTTTAATAAATTATGAATAAATTATAATAATTATCCAAACTATAATAAGTGGTCATGCAGTTATTTATACGTAGTTTCATCGTACAATTTATTCGTTTAAATAAAATTATAATTGTTCAGAATTTATATCGCTATACAAGTCATTTCATATTTTGCAGCCAACAAAAAAAATAAAAGATATAAAACAAAACGGACACGCTCTCGTGCAAAGCACGTGTACTATACTAGTCATTAAAAAACGCGGCATGGCATTTTTCTTCAACCCTAGGTGCAACTTGTTGGCATATAACCCGACGACCGAGCAGTTGATCCGACCACCTCGAGCGCCATCCCGTAACTGGTTCTGTAACGCTGGGATCAGGTTCGGTCCGCGCGGCTCCCCTCCCCAATTTAAGGTCGCTTGGTTGGTCAAGAAGCGAGCTTCGACGCTCATCCTTCATCTCCTCTTCTCGAACAAACACCTGGCAACATTTCGAAACAAGCACAGTGCGTGACTACGACACGGACCGTTACCGTTCCAGCCAGAAGCTTGTTTTCACAGGTGCATCGGTGTTCATTCACCTCGATCGCGTACTTCTTTACTTTTTATGTTGGGGTTTGATTTTCAGAAACAGAGATTTCCAGAGGATTGAGCAACCGGGTACCCGCCATGTGAGGATTCTAGGGAAGTGCAATGGGGATATTTGTTACAGCGAGTAAGTATGAGCATATCTCTTCAAAGTCTGGAAGCTTGAAAGCTAAGAGGGATGTTACAGATGGATACCGATCTATCTAAAATTAAAGCTGCATCATTTTGGAGGGACAACTGCAGGTGGACTGGAGATTCAGTTGAATTCGGTTCTGAAGTTTACATGCTTCCTCCCGAACTCGGGTGTGTCGATTGTCATGGGAGAAAAGATGCATACGCCAGGAGGTGACGAATCGAGCATCGGTTAGCTTGTTGTGTCGCCGTTGAACTTTCTATCCTTTTAGTTTCATTTCGGCAGATGGACTCCTGAGTGCCAATAATCACTCGGAGCAGTAACCAGTTTGTGACTGTTTTCATGCAATGTTCCTCGTGTAAAAGTTTTGATCATTTTTTGTGTTGCCCAAATTATAATCCTGAGGCAAAAAATTTGGGCCAAAGATTTGTTGTTGTTGTTGTGATATCAGTTACGTGACAAACTTTTATTATACTAAGAACAAAATGGTGCCAGGAGGACTAAAACAAACAGCATAACCCTCAAACTATTTTCCCAAAAACAAACGATGCACAAGGAGGCTAAAGAGTCTTTTTTTTTTCAAAAAAAGAGTTAGCAGTTTTCACTCTTTAATCAGTCAGGACAAGACATATTCAAATTTCTAGATGGATCGGAAGCAAGCATTTATATTTATATACGTTACATAACTATACTTCATCATGAATTCAATCTGCACAATAACAGGAATATATACACACACACATACATATGTAGAGTGAGAGAGGCATTTATATACTATACCCATTGAATTTAATCTGTACAATACGTACAAAGCTATCCTCCTGGCTATTATAAACAACTACTGTACACCCATTCATCCTTTGCATCTTACAACAGCTTTTCATGAATGGTGAACAACCAAAATAGTATAGCCACTCGCTTCCTAATAAAAACGCTCTGAAATGCAAAAAGAAAACCCATTCATGTTATGGGTTCATTATCTACCAAAAATTGGGGCATGGCCTTAATCTTATGGACCCTAAGCTATCAAAGAATTTTTCTTCTCTACTGGCTAATGAATGGCGTCGTTCAAATTACTCGTTTACTTCCGTCGAAATTTCCTTTGTTTGAGGTGGTTTTGGATAGAAAAGGATGGCCAGTATTGCACAAGAGCCAAGGCCAACGGCTCCATCAAATGGATGCCATGGATGTGTGCTTGCTAGCCATAATGGAGTCTTAGGCCAGTAAGTTAAGAAGCCACCGGTTTGCAAGATGAAATTTGTAGTCATAATACCTACTCTCATCCCAATAGAAGCAGAGAGGTTGCCTTGTGTTCTTTGTTTCATTCCAAAGAGAGCCAATGATAACAGTAAAAGACCCGGTACTGAGGGAAGAGACCTGCAGTTTTGTTTAAAAGCGAGTGTGTTACAGTTTGCTGATAAAGCTAGTGCTTTTAATATAAACAGGTGACAACGGAGATATTCAAGAACAAAGTTGAGGACAACTAAAATTTACATTGGAAATTAGAAATGAGCATATCCACAGATATATCGAAGATGAATGAGATAGATTCTTTTGAGATGAAATTTTACCTTTGGCTTAGAGAAAATGCAATTCCAGATATTAGAATGGCTCGGTAGTACCCAAGATCTACAGCTATTTCCTCAGCAAGCCATGACCTGAACAGTATTTCTTCCACTAAGGAAATCCCAATTGCTGTAATAGCTCCACGAACAGCAAGGACAAGCATATTTGCATAAGCATTGAGTAGGGCAAGAGCACCTTCAGAAGGAGGCAGTACTGCCAACGATAGCCGTGCATAGCCAAGCAATGCATTGACTGAATGTATACATAGGACAATCAATATCCCTCCAGCTAAACCCTTGCAAAAGTCATACACCTGCAGGGTAAAATTAATTAATTAGACGTGTTCTTCACCCTCTCAGAAGTTGTCAAACGTATCATGAAACTCGACTCGACATTGGTCCAAATCAATCTATGTGTGAGTATGTTGACATGCATTTCAAGTGTTTGGAAGGATTACTAGACAATCTGAAATAGGACTATCAAAAACATGTAAGGAGTTATGTCAGACCATCAGATTTAAAAAAAAAAACTACTTACAGATGCACATGTGAATGAAAATTCCCAACCAATTGCTACAAAATTTGATAAACATAAAGAACCATTTATAGAAAGGTGCAGACATGATGGAGCCATAAAGACATGGAAAATAGTACCGAATAACCCCAACAATTGATCATCTAACAGCAACCAAAGATGGAAGCACACGTGGCATTCATCTTTTGACATCACATATGCTAAAAGGTAGGATCCCATGTGCCTTTTCTCATTCTTTAGATCGAAAACCAAAAAGATATAATTTCTCTCTGGGAGAGAATTTTCTCTTTAAAAGATTACAAGGATAAAAATAATATAAAATTCATACCCTGGACACCGACGTGAATTCCAGCCCATACTGTTGAAGTGGATTCTCATACCCTCGAATTCTTTTACCCCATAACACGACAAGGATTGTAATAGCAACATAGAGACCTACGATGCAGGCATAAGTAACAATGCTATTTGAAGTCTTCGTCGTCCAACATTGTATAATTGTAGGCAGCAAGGGAATCACAACTGGAGACCATAGGACAAGCACCATGCCGACAAACCCCAAAATCCTAACAACAATAGAAAGCAGTTGATAAATCAGAACAATAATTAGACACGTGCATACATCGCCCTCGAAAAATTTGATAGAACAGTCATGCGCATACAGCAAAAAATTCATAAATCAAAATTGGAGCAGTCATGTACGATAGAACAGCAATGCACATAGAGCAAAAAATTCATAGATCAGTATGAATAAGTAACTCTTACAAGCACCACAATATCCCACATCAATACCAGTCCATGATGTCTAATGCTTTACAAAATACAGCAAGGTCCGAAAGATGTATAGTATTAAATTAGTTAGTCTCCCAAAGTACTTCAACTAAAGATTAATTGTTTTCTCAATATCCCTTGGGACAAGGATAACTGAACAGGTAAAAGTATGTTAAAGAAATGAAACCATGATAAATTGATAAATAGTTAACAAACATCTAAAAGAATTCACTGCTGAACATCATAAAATACACTGCCAGTAATTTACACTATAAAATTTATGGTAAATTACAATAAACCCTCAAGAACTTTCAGTGTTTTGCAGTAAATCCCCAACAACTTTCAAATCGCACTAAACCCTAATATCTTTTGGAATTACAGAAAACCCTCAATAGGAATCCGCATTTTGCATATAACCCCCAGAAGTTAGAGCAAAAACAACAAAAAAGGCATTTTGAAAGTTATTGGGGTCTCTGTTACCTGAGTAATTCAAATTGGAAGCAGTACCCCACATGTACCCGTGCCAAAATTTCTTGGACACTTCTTGAATATATGCATAAGTTTATCCAAGCATATACTCAATTATATAATACATGTTTCAATTTAAAACAATCCTCCTACATTTCTTGGACATATATTCTACACTTCACATCTATTTCTTATATATTGATATTATCTTGTGTAAATGAAAAAATAATATTGATCTTATATAAATTATTAATTTTAATACATATAAATATACATAACATACATAAATATAGCCGTGTCCCCATCCACTTCCTTTTGCAAATTTACCGTGTCTCATGCCGCAACTGTACCCATGCAACTTAGATGGGGTTTTAGTGTATCCAACATATATTGGGGGTTCGGCAAAAGCTATTGGGGGTTTGGTACGATTTTGAAAGTTATTGGGGGTCCACTGCAGAATGCTGAAAGTTCTTAGGGGTTTAATGTAATTTACCCTAAAAATTACCTTTTGGTGTTCCATCAATGAATTGTCAGACGCTAAAACATAGTTTTTAAAAAGATGAAATGCAGAACTGAATACAAGAAAAGAAAGAGCCATGAAAACCTAATGCAGAACTGAATACAAGAAAAGAAAGAGCCATGAAAACCTTACTCGTCTATTCTAATTATCTAAACAACTAGGTAAATTAAATGCTTTTTGCAAGTGATCAGATTGATTACTTCTCTTGCTAAAACCAAATGATGAAATTGAAAAAAAAGATGGCCAAGGCTGAGAAACAAGCCTAAGAAGTCTAAGTTTGACCCATTTTAGAAGCCTCAGAAGTCTAAGTTTGACACATGAAAATTAAAATTCTTCATAGATCTTGAATACCCAAGGCAGAGCAAGATCTGAGAGCAGCTACCTTTTGTTTTATTTTTAATTTTTAGAGAAATCAATCAATTGAAAGAGAATTTTTTAAGAAAATAACTGATTGAAAGAGATCCAAACCAAGGTTACAAAAAGCGTAAGGCAGCCTATGCGCTGGACCTTACACCTAGAGCCTAGGCAGCTAGGCGAGAGCCAAGACGGGGCCTAGGAGTCTTCCTATTTTTTATTTTTTAATTACAATAATTGATAATAAATATCAATCTTAATAGAAAGCGTAGACGCCTGACTGGCACTTAGGCATATTTCTTTTTTCGTTTAAGTGGGGGTGGAGGATGTTTTGCTAAAGGTTGGATGAGGATGAGGAGGCGTTCATAGTTGGAGGCTGGAGGAGATTAGAGGAGGTTGAAGGACGTGGAGTCTACTACGGAGGATATCACAATCAAGGCTTAAGGGGTGCAGTCCACGTAAGCGCTCCATATGCTCCCCTAGGTGGGCAACCTAGGTACCAATTAAAACTAGGCGCTAAGCGGGCCACTTAGGTACCACCTAGGCAAAGGCGGACGCCGAGGCAGGCTAGGCAGAGGCTTTTGAAAAACATAGATCGAAACTACAAAAAGGCAAATCAACGAATGAAGTATCCAAAAACAGTTTCTAGCATAAGTTCAATTAACCTTCATATATATCAATAAGTAAGGATGAACATACGTTCCTTATTTAGCATCTCCTTATAGAAAAACTACGATCAGACTAATCATCCAGAAACAGTATCGTGTATCACAAAACCTTATGACATGAATTGAGTAGAAGTTAACTGTTAAAATATCTTATTCTTGAAAAGAAAAAGAACATTAAAGCTACAGAATCATCTATGACCATAAATTGAAGTGTTTCTTCCAAAATATCAAATCAGGAAAAACCAAACTGTTTCTCTGAAATGTCTATTCACATATATGGAACCAAAATATCTGTGTATTGCTAAAAAAAGGCATTGGAAGCCAAAAAAAAAAGTGAAATGAATAGTTGAATTCTTAAGTTTAGCTGAGGATGGCCAGTAGAACTGCCAGATGAACAGACAGCAGGGGAGAGACAGAGAGACTGACCTATGAGGCAAGGGACAGTCTGCAATATGCAAGAAAGAGATGAGCCTGTCAGTTAAGCTCATGGCACCACGAATACCACCCCAGAGCAATGCAACTTTACCAACTAATCTCAATGCTCCACCCTTTTGCCCAAGTTCTGCCAATATGGCGACCAGTCTGTACAGAAAGAAAAAGACCCTGAGAATGTGCTCACATAATCAGGAAACTCAGAAGCAAATCTGTAAAAGGGTCCAGAATCAAGTAACCATACCTTTCCTGATCTACTTGCCCACCATTTTTTGTTGGTACCACGGGACTAGCAACAGACATAACTTTCTCAGAAAGACTGCTCACCATATTATTATGAGTTTTTTCTTGCATTGAATCCTCAAGCTTAGTATCCCCTTCATGAGGACCTTTTTCATTAAATGCAACAGACATATCCTGTTCAAGGATCTCCTTTTGCTGCTGAAGCAAGAATACATAAGGCGAGTGAAGAAAAAATAAAAGGAAATTGCATCTAATTTGATCGGTTGGATTATTGTTCTTGGGAAATAAACTTAACGACCTAATATCCTTCTAAACATACATAGGAAATTTGGGACGAATAATAGGGAAAATTCAATTTATAACCGTGTTAAGTTTCACAGCAAGTCATTTGATCCGCATAAGAAAAGGGGAAGAATGCGGAGCTTCAAGTTTGAACGTATGGAACTATGCATGGATGTGTGGAATTATGCATGGAATTCCAAAAGACACTTTTAGATTCACTTAATCCCTCTGGAAAGAAACTATATGTGCCTGGTTTCCAAACCTTAACAAAAGTAACCTGAGGTCTAACAATATTATTATATCTACAAACAACCTACCTAAAGCTCATAGCTAAGACTGCAAATGCGAGACAACCTAAAGAGGAATATGCACCAATTCACCAGTGAGCAATTAGACCACAATGTTTACAGAACATGTTGTTTTGAACATGATATCACCATAGTGGATATCATAAACTGCTTATGTATAGAAAGGGTTTTCAATTCCCTCAACTAAAAAAGAAGAAAGAAAAAAATCCTCCACATTGAAACGAAAAAAGAGAAAAGAGAAGAAGAAAATTAAAAGAACAAACTAGTAAATAAAAAAAATAAACTAATGGCATTATATTTATATCCACATGAAGAATGATGTACTATTTCTACGAGTAGGCAAGAGGATCGTAATATTGCACATACATTGTGGAAAATACGTCAGAAGGGTTCAGTTGGCTTGACCTTACCTCATGATGTGCTAATAAAGCAGATGCACCAATAGCAGCTGTAACAGCCCCAACCATGATGCCACCACTGTTCAAACCATCTGTCTGAAGCTTTTCACAGCCTCTGTTGATGAGTTTACCTGAATCAACATGCTGATATTTTACTCCAGCAGAGATCACTTTCTTGGTCTCACTCCCTTTAACATAAGAACTCTCCTGAACATGTATAGATTCACGAATATCCTTATTTTGATCATCATCATGCGAAGAAACAACTTGAAAATATGTCCTCAAAGATGCCAAACTCGAACCAACAACAACACCTACTGGAAGAACTTTTCTCAGATGGCTGGAATTGGAAACTGCTGAAGATATGGTTTTGATTATGTGGTTTGCATCAATTGTACCAAACTTCAATGAATCAGTATCGTCACTTTCTGGAAATGGATCTAAATTCAACCCAATGTTATGTACAACTTCCTCTGATACCGTATCAGCAAACTGTTCCAAATCATGTACTAAACTGCTTTCCAAGCCTTTTAAATCAGGCCTGCCTAACTTGCGACCAACTTCCATTTTCAAAGCATCTAGCAGAGTGTTTCTAATCAAGTCCATAAATGCTGCTTCACCATCATCATGGTTATCATCTACTGAATTATGTTCTTCCGCTGAACCATGGTTAAATATTGAAAATTCATTATCTACTATAACATATGATGGCTCTATAATATTCTCAGAATCGTCCCTTCCATTGATGTGATTTTCTCCACTTTCACTCAAAGTGCTTTTGGAATATCCTGATTGATCTACCATTCTCCACTTACCTTCTTCTGGATCAAGGAATAGATCAGTTGTTGACTCCAAATCTATTGATTTTGTTGCTGGCAACTGTGTCGAAAAATGCCTCTGAATATATGCTGCGTATGGGGATTGCCAGTACTGCTTGCCAGCTACATCTAGTGGAAAATTATGTACCCGGCCAACCTTATTCAAGCTTTTATTCTCTAGATTTTTAAAGAGTGTATTACTTTCCTTAGCCCGATCAATACTATCATTTGCAGATGAGGTAAGGCTATCATTCATCTTCTTTGAATTACTCTGGATCTCCTCATAAGATCCAGATTCTTCCTCCTTAGGACTATCTCCTGGAGAATCAGACGGTTCCACCACATCTGGCTCTCCGCCTGATTTATCTTTGTTGTCTTCTGTCTTCTCAGATTGATTTACTAACTCATGATTCTCATTTGTGCTCAGCTCATCACCATTTTCTTCGTTACTCGCCTTCTCAAACTGGTCGATCATATCTTCTATAACTCCAAACACACTATTGACAGCCATTTGGGTGGAATCATCAAACCCAGTCAAAGCATCTAGTGCCTGGGTGACAGAGATTGGTGGGGGCTTTGACGATGAATGCTGAGGTGAAGATTCTTCTGATTTTGCAGAGGTATGCACATTTTGATCCATGACATCTTGAGTAAACTTGCTTTCATTTTTCTGAAGATCATTTTCGTTTTCTTCCACTTTTTCTTCACTATCCAATGAGCCAGCTGATGATACTTCTCCAGAACTAGTTGATGAAGTCGGTATATTTTGTTCTGCTGGCGAATCCAATTTTCCTGCTTCACTATTTTGGATATCATTTCCAGTATATAGACCTTGTTCATATGCAGAGTGCTTGTCGCCTTTCACATTGCTTTGGTTGACCTGACCTGTATTCTCATCTATCAAGGTATTCGCTTCCTCTGATTTATCAGGTTGAGTTGGTTTGCCACCTGCTTCTGTCAGAGCTTCAGCATTTGCAGAAGCTTGGGCAGCCTTTTCTTGAGAAGTTCCACTGCTTTTTGGAGCAGATTCAGTATTTGCTTCCTCCGATTTATCAGGATGACTCAGTTTGCCGCCTGCTTCTGTCCCAGCTTCAACATTTACAGAAGTTTGGACAGCTTTTTCTTCAGAAATTCCGGTGCTTTTTGGGACAGAGTCGGTGCTTTCATGTATTCTTCCATCACTTCCAGGACCATTCTTCCTCAAGTCTGATGCATGAGAGTCATCCTGTCCACTTTCAGTGGTTGAAGTTTCTTTTGACTTTTCTTGGCTCCTTGACTTCCCTGATGTCACATTATGTATCCAACCAATCCTTCTAAATGCATCAAAATTTAAGTTTGTACCCTGAGTGTGCATAATTTCAGTAACAGCAGTTGTGAGCTTTCCACGCACCTCATCAGGCACTGCACCTTCTAAAGCTTTGACAAGTGTTTCTCCTCGTTCCACGGCAGTTAAGACCTGCAGAAGAAAGAAATAAGAGGAAGTATACCACAGATAGAGAAGAAAAAATGCACCCAAAACGGCAGTAAGCAAAATGTTCACTGATCACTATACCACATATAGATATGAAAGGTTAAATCTTCAGCTATTGATTTTGGATGCAAGTGCGCAAAGTATTAGAACTCAATTATACTAAAACAATGATAGACCACGAAGAAATATTTGTGGTTTTGTGCTAGCTAGGGCTAAATATCAGGCTAGTGAGGTATACCTTTTTCTTCTGATCATTATCCAGAGTACCAGGCATAGTAACGTCAAGCATATTCATAACAACAGCCGCAGTTTGTAAAACTTGACCACCATCATTATCAGTTGGACTATCCCCTCCAATAGTTGAGCTACTGTCTGGAACATCTGCATTTATATCTTCTTTTATTCCTTCACCTTTATGCATCATACCCAATGCACTTTCTGATTTTGAGTTACTGCTTGATGTTTCATGACCTACACCATTTTTTTCGTTGACAAACTGATCAACAAGAACTTTATTCACTTTATTTGATGACGTCAGCTTCAGGGAAGTCCCATTATTTGCATCATTCTGGCTCCAAAACCAACGATCAGAATCATATATTTTGCCGTTTCTATTCTGAAAATCAACATTATTTTCTGATGTTTCACCATTAATAAATGATAAGCCCTTTGAAGGATTAATGGTGATATCGACATCTTTCAAAAGAGGGTGTCTACCCTTCAAAAGTGCAAGCTCTACCGCTAAAAGCCACTGCAAAAATCAGATAAGTAAACTAGGTAGATCAAAAAACCAATATTGCATCACAAAAAGATGATTCAAGGGATTTCATAAATGATAACTAAATGATATATGCATCAAAAAAGCAACCACTTTTAGAGAGAGCAAAGAGATTTATCTGTCATAGTTTTGGTTTTACATTTTATCAGAAATGAAATAATAAAGAAGCAATGGCATACAACATGTTCATAAGCAGAATGTAAATTCCATCAGAAGCAGAATTTCAATCATCGGTCCTCATTCTGCAACTTTTTTTACAAACTTCTTCTCCTTGTACTTATACGAATATATGAACTTCCATCTATAAGTAATCCTTTTTCCATGACGATCTTTTAACAAACGTCTCTCAGAATATAGAGAAAAAAGTAAGAACCGTGAATAAGAAAATAATCAGGGTTGGGATAAATAGTCACCTCAATTGTAAGCTGTTGGCACCAAAGAATAGTGGATCTCTCAATTATGTTGATAACTGAAGAATGAGAAGAACAAAGTAGCAGACTTGTAAATGGATTTTCTGCTATAGCACCGCGCGGAACAGAAAAAAGAGGCACAGCTTCTTTGTCACTCTGGTAAAGAGGAAAATACAAAAGTCAAAAATAGGAAGTGCAACGTCCAACTCTCCTTGCTCATATCAGTAAAACTGTTGCTTTCTGCATCACTATAAAATCAAATGCGATAAAGATATTATAATAGTTTGTTTCAGGACGTTCACTTTGTCCAACATCAACACCTGTGATACTAACTCCAGAGTCACAAAACTTATGAAACACAGCTGTGGATAAGGGAATGAGATATAATACACTACAAGGACGAAGATACAGTACCAACATCCACCAAGTTCGTCATTCAAATAAACCAAGTGAAAGAGAATTTAACAACAAAACAAGTTAACAAACATCCATTTTCCAGACATGACATTAAGAAAGAAAATCAACCATCCACCAAGTTCATCATTCAGATAAGAACATTAGAGAAAATGAACATGTACGATATAGCAAAAAAAAACCATGAAAACTACCGTCCAGTGTCAGCCATCAGCAAAAAGAGTGTTGATGCAGTATACATGTGTAATAAATTGTGTATCCATAAACAAACAAAAAATACTTCCAAGAAGTACTGAATAAGTATCTGGAGTACAACAGTCATGGATATTGACACATACATTGGAGGACTAAAAGCATCAAGAATTTTAGGTTTGAACAAATCCTACGTCACATCTAAGAACAGGAGACCTTGATATAGTATCTTTCTTCTTGTTGCTGATTTTTTATTCTAGCACATTGCAAAACCTAGCACTACAGTAGCACTAGCACATGTTATCAGTATGGGATGTTTTAGGCACATACTGATATTCAAGTTGACCAACAAGATATTCCTCCCTCCTTCCTGTGATATCTCATGTTAACATGGTGGTTTGATGGAGTGTACCAAGGAAGATTTATTGAAAGATAGATTAGACACAATAAAGGTTCTTATAAAAATAGAATGTTTTTAAGATGAAGAAAGAAGCATTGCCCATGTTCCGAAATAGGTTCAGTGTAACTTCTTAGTGTGACGGTTACCTGCCTGTATAAATAAAATAGGAACCTTCAATTTGTTAACCAACTCCCTTGTGCTAGTCATTGAATAGAATTCCTCAACATTATCAAAGCCATAAGAAATCATTGATACTGCTTCATCAAAATCACGAACTGATGTAGCTAATAAAGCTTTTGGCAGATCAAAGCCCTTGGCCTTGCCTTGGAATAGTTCCTGCAACAATAACCATTGGCTCTGGGTCAATACCAATACAGAAGGGCATAATTTGTGCAAGATAACTTGTTCAACTGTGGATCGGACATTTCCTTCAAGGATAATTACATGTTCTTTAGTCGATTAGGACATGATTACATTCCTTAAATAAATTACTCATAGCTTTTTGGAAGAATGTTATTCCCCAAAAAGAAAAGTTTCATGTTACCATTTTATAGCAGCTTATTTAGGAAGCAAAAAAACAAAACCATTACTCAAATTACAAAAAAAAAAATTTATAACCTCTTTCAAAATGAGAATACTCGTAGAATTAGCTCTTTCCAGCGCCCGCTGTTGTTACCAGATACTTGAACAATTTAAGGATTCAAACAACAATTATCAAGCTATTATCAGCACTGCACTGCAGCAGCATCACTTCAAGTGTAAGATCTTAAACCACAACAACATAAAGGAAAGATCGTCTCTAAAAGATCACCTTAGAAAAAGTTTATAAAGGATAGGTACAAATAAGTTCTATCAAAGTATGGACTAATCAACGTTCTCTGACATTTGAGTATAAACATTTTGTACATACACATAAAGTATTATAATATTATAGTAAATTTTTTTGAAGGGTTTCTGAGTCGAATACTTCCAGAACAGATGGACATTGACACCCTATGTCCATGTAACAATATCCAACGAAAATAATAAACCACTTTAACTCTCCCATTTCTACTTATGCAAGCTCAAAAGCTCTCACTCTTCATACATTTTTATTTGAAAATCTCGCTAGAATATCTGACTATCCAGTAACACTACTATATGCAAGTATATTTGTGTAACCACTTATAAATTTAAAATTGCCAAACACCTTAATTACAGAACAGTCATTTTGCTATGTCAAATGACACCTTGGTAGCACACATAAAGTGAGTGTATTTAAATTTTCAGAAAGTCGGGAATGAGAGACCTTATTAGCTCGTAGAATCTCTGTCAAACCACCTGTAAGCTTTTGGTCCATAGCAATGTGGTGAGGAAACGACCTCGTCGCTTCATCTAAGTCGAAAGGATTGTCAATGCATACAGCAGCTGTAAGGGGAGTTGATTCCCCCACATCAGCGAGATATTTGGTCAGCATGTTTGCACCATATCCGATGCCAACTCCCATCAATGTTGTCCATGGCCTGGACTTATTGACATATTTGATAGCTGTGCAGATATCATCGCTGTCAGCAGCAGTAAATAACCTACATAAAGCAGGTAATTGAGACGTTCTACTATCAGAAAAGATAAAACCTTATCCCTGAATATTGAGTTAAACACCACTTAACAAATAGGTCCAACAGAAACCACCAGGGAAATCTCAAGAACATATGATATTTGGATATTAAAGATAAATAACACATATGACTCCATGTTTAGCTGAAAGGGAGCACCCTTAGCATTCAAATTCAAAACAATATCAGCTCTTCTTTCTTTCGCCTGCCAAAGCAAATGTGCTGTTTGGCTGCTTCAGCTATATACTTATTCATGAAGCTGACACCAAAAAACTATAAGACGCCATTATTAGTCAAGAAAGTGGTTGAGAAGTCCAAATACTCGGGTCTGCTACTTCATTCTAAAGACTTCAAGTCCAGCACCACTTTTTAGAAGTTACGCGGCTTACGCCTGTAGGTTCTTTAGAAAGATGGTACATACTAAATAATATAGCATAGCATATGATGTTGGATATTGCAGTGGTTTAGGATTTTCCCCCCTCCTCAAAAAGGTGGTTTATCAATTTAATCGCATTTAACATCCCACATGATTGACATTTTAAAAGTATCAATTGCAAGGGGGTACTGTCTTCATTTCTAGATTTTTAGAGTTTCTCAAGAGTTCAGGTCATGCACATAAGAATTATCAGACATGTTTGTATCCACTCTTCAGAGATGTTTCATTAACTTCTCACTGATAAGATCAGGGGTTGGGGGCTACTAAACAAACAATTTCAACAAACGATGTACTTAAACCGAAGAATTCTAACACAATTAAACAAACAATTTCACCTCGCAGTCGTCAACGGAGATCCAGCACACCCTCTAGGGTTCATAACCACCGGAAAACACCCGCTCCTCAAAGCATCAACAACGAACCTCCTCACATCTCTATCCATGCTCCCCTCTGCCGTCCCGGGCACAATCAACACAGTCGCATCTCTCCCATACTCCCTCCCCAAATCAAGATCCTCCGGCCAATCCAACGAGATAACCCCACCATCCTCAGTCCCCACACAAACCCTCTGATACCCAATTTCCTCCTCTTCCTCCAAACTTTCATCTTTTCTCGCCAAAATCCTCCCTCTGCTCAAATTCACAAAATGCCTCTCGTCTCTCAAAAGCTTCTCGCTCTCCTCCCCATCCTCGAACGAGATCGAAGGGCATCGAAGGAGCACACACCGATTGAACGGGGTAGGGCTTGTGAAGAGAATCCAGTCAGCGACAACGGGTTCGGGTCTTCGATCTGTGACCCGGCCTTTAGTAAGATAGAGTGCGGCGCCTGAGGCTAGGGTTAGGGCGGTGGGAATTAGCTCAAGGGGGTTTGAAGAAATTAGGGTTTTGAAGAGCTCGTCGAGAGAGGATCGAATTCGGAGCTGAGACCGACGGCGATAGCGGATTTGGGTGCGAGTTCTGGCGATTCTGAGGTTTAGAGGAGGGTAGATTGATAGGGTTAGGCTCATGAGGAAACCCTAGGAGAGAGAAAGTTAGGGTTTCTAGAGAGAGAAAGAGAGGGGTGGGGAGGCGAGAGGTGGAGGAAGTACGCGGGAGAGATAGTGAGAGGAGGTGGTCGTAGCCGACGGAAAATGGTATCGTGGGTGAAATGACAACCTTGTCCTTGATGAGAGATTAACGGTAAATTGAAGATAGCGCTTTCCCTCCGAATGCCAAGACTAGCCTCGTAACCTGTCGTCGGTTATTGGGCCATGGGCTGGGCTAAAGCCCATAACACGTGTAGTGCTCTTGTTTGGATAAGCCCACCTGTCGCCCCTCTACTATTTTGTTAACACTAACACCTAAAGAATCATGAAACAGAGGTGTTACGTGCAATTTGTTCTTTTTAAAATATCAATCTAGGGATTCTTAGCGCTAATGAAATAGTTGAAGGATGATCGGTGCTACTAAAGGTATTTTCTATTACTGTAGTCATATTTTTTGTATTTTCTAGGGAATTCTTTAGTTAATTTTACTATTACATTTGGTGGGAAAAGTTGATGTTTAGTGTCCCTATTTGATGAGACACATATTTAGACGTCGATGCAAGGTTTCTATCTACGTATGAATCAATCAACAGTAATTGTTTGTTGCCGCCCTTGGCTTGTTGCTATTACATTACATTGGGGTCTATATCGAATAATATGTCCACGGATAGAGATAAGATAAGACTAATTAACAACCGTAAGTGACTGATAGTATAGAATTGGCTAGAGTGCACGAGTTTCTTCTTGTTTGATTTTTTGGTCAAAACCGTTTTTCAAAAAATAAGTTTTCAAACTATGTATTTATTAACTACTGGTATTTTTTTTAGAAATCATTAGTAGCGTAGTGGAAAGTTAATGTTTTGGTGTTTTAAAATGTCATGTGTTCGAGGCTTGCCAACGACAAGCCGGGAATTATTTTTATTCAATTAATCTCTCATAAGTTTTAGTAGGCCAATGGGTCGGGGATCGTGGCTAATCGAGTTAAGGCGCTTTGTAAGGCGTACTTTGCATTGTGCACGGAGTTCGCAGCTCGCGTGACCCTCGCGTTTGCAAGAGGGAACGCGACTCTCGCGTTCAAACGTTTCTTCATGCAACAATTAAAACTGCATGCAATAGTTACAACAATTAAGTCATTTGTTGTTACAATCATAATTGTCATTATGATTTGTAACAGTCAAATGACCCTTGAGCTAGTCTTAGAGGCCTATAAATATAGCCCATTGGGGCAGCTTTCATAGATACGAAAAAAACACATTGAAGTGTTTAAACTGTTGTGCTGCTGCTGCAGAGTTTGAAAGCCTGCAAGTTTTAGTCTGTGCACGAAGGAACAAAGCTCTGAACCGAAATGTTATTACAGATTGAAAGATCTTTGTCTTAACCGAAAGGTTTTTTGAACCGGAAGGTTTTAACAGATCAAGGAGATCTTTGTCTAAACCGAAAGGTTTTGAACCGTAAGGTTTAACAGATCGATGAGATCTTTGCTTTAACCGAAAGGTCTTATAGATCGAGGAGATGTTGACGGTACTTGGTCGGTGCATACCAGTGTACTGTACTGCTGTTCCTGGAAGCAGTTTGGCCTTAGGATCCTTGTACCGGAGTTGACCAAATATTGCTTTAAGCACAGCGTTTCATAAACGCACAACAGCTAAACTTGAAAAAGTTTGAAAATATAGCACTTCAGCTATCTAACAGATTTATCTGTTTTATTTCAGATTTAGCCACAGGCGCCAACACTTCCTTGCATTCATATTCTTGCAAAAGAGTGGCTTGCATTTTTATTGTTTTTAATGGAATTTGTCTCATCATTTGCGTGTATACAGCCTGATAATCCCATGTATATGAAATGGAGATCAGAACTTCTTGTGCTTATTTGACAAAAGAAATTAGAGTTGTACTTATGGAATTAATAACCATAGGCACTAATTACGTATATGAGAAAACTATGATTTAGAAATCGTTAATGACAGCTTGAAAATATATTTCTTACGTTAAGCCAAACGATGAATTTGTACGTGCTACTGCCTGCACGTTTTGGCATAAAACTATCGTCAGCCATTTCTAACGCTCCTTCGCTGCAATAATCCAAATAATTACAGACAACGAACAGACCTTGGGATTTGCTCATAACCTTGAGGACATCATTCAATAATTGTACTTAAATACCACAATGCGTTGAGCCTCTCTCCAAACATCAAGAACACTTGACGATGTATTGCTTTCTTCGCCTTACTCTTCTTCTATCAGTAACCATTGTATCAGTAGGGAGCCCAACTGAGAAATCCCCTGCGGCTTTCTTCATCTTCGGTGATTCTGTTGTGGATGTTGGCAACAACAATTACATTGAGACCATCCCCGAGTTCAAAGCTAATTATGCGCCTTATGGGCGAAATAGTTTTTTCAATCGACCTACTGGTCGATTCAACGATGGGCGCCTCATGGTAGATTTCATCGGTAATTTACATGAACTTTCTTTGGATATTTAGTCAGAAATTGTTGAAATTTTGTGTTCTTTGTAATTGCTGTGGAGGGATCGAAAAGGTTTGACAACATTTAACAATATTTCCATGAATTTTCTTAGATGATTATCTAAGTCGTCACCTTAGGAACACTTTTCTCATATATATATATATTACTATATAACTATATATATATATATATATATATATATATAATATTAATATATATATATATATACCTATGGGAAAGTGAATCTTAGAGCGTGACCACCTAGGCTCCCCCTAAGGATGCACCGCGCTAAATCACATCATTTCCTAAATTTTTTTACGATCCGCTTCGTTGAACTTGATCTACACGTGTTCTTAACTACAACACACGCTAATATTAGGGGTAAATCCGTCGTGTTTTGATCCTTATCGCACTTCGCATATAATTTTAACGGTTTTTCGAATGATTTTAGAACATTTTACTAAGGGCTCAATGGAGAGGGTCAAAACACAACGGTTCACCCCAAATTGGTGTGTGTGTTTGGGTTTAAAGAACGTGTAGATCAAGATTCAACGGAGCGGATCGTAAAAAATTGTAGGAAATGATGTGTATTCTAGGCCGCCGTCCTTACGGTGGGAGCCTTGGGTGTCACCTTAGATCACTTTTCCTACTTATGTTATATATTATAATAAATATTAATATGATATATTATTATATATATATATATATATATATATATATATAAAACTTGTATATATATATATATATAGGGTGAGGTTCTAATAAAAACCTACTTAGCCTAAAAACTAAAAACCTATTTATTGCACTAAATGTCATTAAAGAGTGCAATAAATGTCATTATTATACTGAGTGCAATAAATAGGGGCAACAAACAACCAATGAATCCAGATTCACTAGATTGAATCCAGATTCAATTCAGTGAATCCAGTTTCACCTCACATAACTGAATCTGGATTCACTGCAGTGAATTGAGATTCACTCCAGTGATAGTGAATCTCGATTCACTCCAGTGAATCTCGATTCACTCCAGTGAATCTGGATTCACTATAGTGAATCTGGATTCACTCATATATAGGGTGAGGATTTCCAGTTGAAAAAACGAAGACATGTATGAGTGAATATCGATTCACTGCAGTGAATCTCGATTCACTGCAGTGAATCCAGATTCGGTTATGTGAGGTGTTTGTTTTTTAAAGAATAATGACATTTATTGTAGTGAATCCAGATTCAGTTATGTGAGGTGTTTGTTTTTTAAAGAAGAGCTTTGCTACAGGGACCCAAAATATGGGACCAATAGGGGGGACAAGTGAGGTGTCCCCCTCCTATTGGATAATGAGTTGACCATATGATGGCCAACTCATTATCCAATAGGAGGGGGACACCTCACTTGTCCCCCCTAATGGTCCCATATTTTGGGTCCTTAAAGAATTTTTCTTTAAAGAATAATGGCATTTATTACACTCTTTAATGACAGACAAATTTATTGCACTCTTTAATAATGGCATTTATTGCCATCACTGAATCTGGATTCACTGTAGTATAAGCTCTAATCTCAATCATTGGATGAGATAGATCCAATGACCCACAATGGTTTTTAGTTTTTAGGCTAAGGAGGTTTTTATTAGAACCTCACCCTATATATATATATATATATGTATATATATATATATATATATATATATATATATATAGTATATATAAGTAGTCATCGGATGCCTGAAGTCTTACGATTATTTTTCAAAATAGAATTCCTAACAGTTGAAAACTGAAACGGACTGATAATAGTAACAGAGGACAGTAATTCGAGACATCAAACACTTAAAACAAACTTTGTATTGAAGAATACTGTTATTTATACACTAGTCCCAATAAAATTAGTGAGTGAACTTGGATTACATTAACATTTTACCGAAATTATAATGCAGCTGAATATGCTAAGCTTCCATTGATTCCACCATTCATGCAACCATCTGCTCAGTTTACAAATGGCGCCAATTTTGCCTCTGGAGGAGCTGGTGTGCTTCCGGATACTAGTCAAGGCCTGGTAATTAAAATTCTTCAGGAATTATTATACACCTATTATTAACACATGATAATTAATCGTTTGATAAATGACTTCTTTTGCATTGCGCATCAGGTAATTAACTTTCAAGCTCAGCTCAAGCAATTTGAAGAGGTTTCAGGCATGTTCATTAAAGAACTAGGTGAAGAAAGAGCCAGAGCAATAATTGAAGACGCAGTATATTTCATAAGTATTGGTAGCAATGACTATATTATTGGGTATTTAAGCCACGAGAAGAATCGTGAGGCTTATACCCCTGAGGAATTCATTGGGATGGTCATTGGCAACTTCACTCAATCTATCCAAGTGTGTATCCTTATATATCTTGTTCTATGACAAAATTCTAGATAAATTTATGAATTTATCACGCGAACTTTTAAATTTTCAAAAAGAAAGAGTACCATAAAATTGAGGGTCTTATGTAGTATGGAGATATCGCCACTTATTTCACTAAACTATTTTGTTAGCTCTTAAACTCATGAATCCTAGACCGCATTATTTCTCTGTAAGGTTGACATGTCACGTGTGAATCATATGATGATAATTATTTTCTTGTCCGCGGCCTACAGAAGAACTAAATTGCCCTTTTAATTGTTAAGGATAAAAGAAACCACACGCTTACATGCTATTTGGATTTCTAGGAGAGCAAGTGGTAAGAAAATAGTTGAGGAGTATTTATCAGTGCCTACACATGTACAGTACCAGGAGGTATATGCGCAATGAATCCTAAATTTTACAAAATATAAAATTATCGAGATTTCGTAAAGTCATCACAAAAACTAGCATGGAAATTGAAGCTCTCAATAGTTATTGATAATAAATCCAGTTCGTGCATAGTAATTTTCGAAAAAAAAAAAATTGTTCATGATATATAGAAATATGAACTTATTCTCAGGAGTTATATGAGAAGGGAGCAAGGAAATTCTACATTCTAAGCATAGCTGATTTGGGATGCTTGCCAGCATTCAGAGCAATAAATCCGAAAGCTGACGGTGGCTGCTTTAAGGATGCATCAGCACTTGCCTTGGCTCATAACCAAGCATTGTCAGCTGTTCTCACAAGCTTTGAGTACATACACAAAGATTTCAAGTATGCTAACATCAATTTGTATGATTGGCTCAATGAGAGGATGCAAAATCCACATGAATATGGTACATATATCTTCCTTACTGTGTTCAAATTAAAAATAGGAGTTTCTATATATGGTGTTAGTCCCCAAAAGATATAATTTGAAATAAATTCTCTAACCACGTGTCTGGCAAACCCATAAAAAAACTAGTCAGGATTAATCTTAGCACAATTCTGTCCTAACCGGACCAGGTTTGTTCCGTGTGGCGTGGACAACATGAGAACCAATTTTAGGACCAAAATTTGACATAAACGAAACATGCCAATCCTAACTCGGTTTTATAAATTTGCCAAATAGAACCGATGGAAGTTAACGGACTTAGGAGACTTAATTATATTATACTATCAACATTCAACGAAGAATTTCAAAGTACCCATTTTTTGGGTCAATCAATAATTAAAAAGACCATAACAATAAATATTATCGAAAAGTTTTGATTTTTTTTTTAATCTTTTTGTGGTGCTTAAGGTTTTAAAGATGGGACAAATGCATGTTGTGGAACGGGACCATACGGAGGAATCTACACCTGCGGAGGTACAAAAAACATAAGTGTATACCAACTATGTGAAAATGTTGGAGATTATGTCTGGTTCGACTCAATCCATGCGAGTGAGAAAATACACGAACAGTTTGCAAAGGAAATTTGGGGCGAGCCCTCATCTCCGAGAGCCAAAACTTTGGAGGATCTATTCTTTGACAGGGAAAAAATTATAAATATTGGTGATGTGGAAAGTGATGAAAATGAGCTAGGGACGTTCACCTACATTGCATGATTGAGTTGAATGATGTGTTTGGTTTGATGTAACTCGACTTTTTTACGTTTGATGTAACGAAGCAAGTTTTTCTGTGTTTTACTTTTCACTTTTACGTGATTTTCCATTCAATATGATGGTACTGTGACTTGGACATGATACGGGTTTAAATCCGTTCTTTTTGGACTTAAAAGTTAAAAGCCAAAAAGGTTAATTACAGGGCATGTGATCGAAAACAATTCTAAAGCCTCTTTTTTTTTGCCCCCCAACTCGTGACCTTGATACCTACCGATGCATCAAAAAGGCCTCTAAGAGGCTATTTGTTTCCCTTCATTAATCTAGTTCTTAATTTTGTGTGGCAGAGGGAAGTTAATACTTTGAAATAACTTTGAGGTTTCAGCCCCTGTTTGCCTGCGGAACTCTTCGATTTGTTCCCTCATATCCACAGAACTATGTTCATCTTTTATCTCCTAAACTACTGTTAGAATTAATATAAAAGTATAATCCTTGATCATCACCGTAATTTCGGAGTTTTGGTCTAATGGTTAGAGGAACTAAATTTAAGATGGTATCTGAGCAACCTAGGTTCAAATCCCACCGGCCACGAATTAAATGCGGATTTTCTAAAAATTGACACCGCTACGTGAGTCCAGGTTTCGTCCCATAAAAAAGGGCGCTCGACCTACGGGGGGGGTGTTGGAATTAATATAAAACTATAATCATTAATCCTCACCCATAACTTTGGAGATTTTATCTAATGGTTAGAGAAACTAAATTTAAGAACTATCACCTCTTGTACCACTTCTCTTTTATTAGTTTATGGGTATTATTAAATGGAAAAAGTGACAATTCAAAGGGTAAGATAGGACTAAAATGATTGTTCATAAGGTAATGTGGGACCGAAAATATTTTAAAGATAAATGGGATGTAGTTGTTAGTATAGTAGAAAGTAAAATGTGACTAAAAAACTTCAGGGAGGATGAAGGTGTAAAATGAGCGGTTAATGGGGCGAGTAGAGACTAAAGCCCTACCATTGGATAACCTTCGCCCTCGTTCGATGTAAATGCTGAAGTCATATGCTAATATGACCTTTTTTGAAGCGACTCTTATATTGACTATGAGTAATCAAGCACTATATGATCATCATAGAAAAATAAATGTTATGTTCGTGTTTCACAAGGAAGAAATAATCACATCATAGTTGACCTTTATTATTTAGAATAGTCCGTAAACACTTCATGCTTGATGTTAGTGCATGAAATCATCATACTTAATTAAGCATGATTAACGTTTGATAATCACAATAAAGCAGTTCGCACTCTAAAACCCATTTTCAAGTTACAGCCTCAGTATTGGAGGACAAACACTATACAATCCCTCTAATATTTTCCAAAAGATGTATCTGTGGAGAAATCAGGAAAAGAATCAGAAAAACCAGAAAAACTGGCATAAGTCGACTCATGCACTGTGCACGATGTCGACTAACTCTGCAGCCGGAATGTGATTTATTAGCCTCTGGTCAATTCGACTTACATGACTTGTTAAGTCTACTTTCAGTGGCAAGTCGACTAACAGTCTTTCAAGTCGAACTATGAAGTGTTCTCCTGTTCGGTGTTTTCTCTCTGTCACGTCGAGCTTTGTGCACACTGAAATTTCGACTTATTACGGTGTTTTTTGCATACGCAGGTTTCCATTATTCTGCATCTGATTGGGGTTTTGTTTTTGATATAAATAGGGAAAAGATTTGGGGGTTTTTTATCAGACATGAGGAATCTTTTGAGGCATTAGTGAGAGTATATGATTGTTGTAGCACAAGGTGAGTATCTTTTGTTGAGGGTTAGTTTGAAGAATTTGTGCTGATTGTAACCCTTGGTACTATCCACTTGACTTTAAGTGAAATCTCCCCATCCTCTCCCCGTGGACGTAGGCAAATTCCTGAACCACGTATATTCTTGCTGTTTGTTTGGATTGATTTGTCGTAATTGCTTTGTTGGTGCAAGTGTTATCGTCTTTCTTCTACTCGTTGAGTCAGCAGGTTCGTCTGTGAGTTCCGTTGCAAGGCTTCTCGCAAAGGCGCCTACTAAGTGGTATCAAAGCTCAGATTCAGATCTAGGTATTTGATTAGTGAGGAAGATTCAGTTGAAGCTTGGTTCTTGAGTATATGGGCTTTGTGGAGTTAGGTGTTTGAATTGCCGTTGAAGATTTCGCTTTCTCTCGTCGTGTTAAGTTTGAGTTCTACATTTTGGAATCCAATCTAGTGGTTCAGTTGGGTAATTTCTTATTCTTTTAAAAGTTCTTGGACTCTTTCTGCTACAATCTTGGAAGTTGGATTATTGGGTGAAGATTAATTGGTGAAAGGTCAGCAAGATGACATGACACATTTTAGAAGTGGGTTTCAGAAACTAAATTATGTTTGAAATATGACGGAGAGTATCAATTTTGGTAATTGTGAATGAGGCGACGTACAGGATCGCCTCACATGCTCAAATCTCGGAGGAGACCATCGTGATTTGGTCGATGTGCGGTCCACCTTAAGTATTGGAATAACGATATGGGAAAAAGATGAATCGAAATGTTAGCGGGGTGATCAGGTCTGTTTGAAGCAGAGCTGAATATCGATGTTTGGTGGTGACGCTGCGATGAAGAATGTGAACTCTCAACAATAATACCTTACGAAAGTGTTAGGTAACTCGTCTGCATCTTGCTCGCGAAGGTTATTCAGATTCCAGATGTCCAGAGGTGCCTCGCTTGGCGGCTTCATGTCAACAACTACCTCAAGTTGTTGT